TTAGCAGCAATTAAAATATTTTCAAGCTATTCATCACACAGAATATTATTTTATTAATAGATTCTGCACAGTCAACTGTGTTATTTATTTATTTTGCAAAAACTGTATTAAATTATTTACATTTGTACAAGCACCAGTACCTCAGGGAGTTCAATGCCTTGTTCCTTATATTTACTTAATTGGGTCAGGGGAATTTGATTTAGGTTTAAAAAAAATCTCGCCCCATTACCATCACTTCCAATAGCAATGAAGGGAAGAGTATGGTCCCTTAAGCAGGCTATTAACCTGTTTTTATTACTCTCCAATCCACTGCACATGGGGTGGAGGAAGGAGTAGGGGACAGTTTGGGTCACAGCCAAGTTAGATTATCATTCTCCCCATGAACACGAGGTAAAGTTTGGCCATCTCTGGTTGATTGTGTGATATAGTCATTTTTATTAAAAAAAATGTAAATTAAATTAAAAAAAAACTTTTCTAATTTATTTTTTGTCTGGTTGGAGGTGTCTTATTTTGCATCACGACTGAGTTATGCAGCTAATGACTAATATTGTGTAATAGGTCTTTTGTTACACTAATAAAAAGCAGTATGGAACCTTTTTCTGAAGCAAAACAGACAATGTTTTTTGTTATAACTTCAAATTCACACATTGTCAAAATGTTGTTGTTTTTTTGTTCAAGGACTATGCATAAAACATAGTTATTAATTCTTTGAAATCATATTTTTGATGGATTTGAAATATAATTATGCCAATGAATGCATTAGGTTCATGTATTACCTAAACTGATATATACTAGTAAGCATTTATATAATTTACTTATATATTTATGAAATGGAAACTAATTTTGACATCTGTTACACACTTTTTAACAGTGATTGCATTTTTAATCATATTAGTTTGAATGTGTTCCAATCCTAGTTAACACCAGCCAAACTTAACAAGCATATGTTAGTATCAAGTGAGAAAAATAAAATAATTTGATGTGCTTTTTCTTTCGGTGAAGAAAGCATTACATGAATAAATTAGTTTCAAATTATTTTGTTTTAATTAGTTTACTGAATAGTTAAGAAAGACATTTGATTATGTACAAAATATCTTATGGTTGATATATTTTGCTTGATTTTCTATCTATCTGTCTGTCTATCTATCGTATACTGTCTGCATGATATGAAATGGAAATAAAACATGTATTTACTGCTACTTAATCAGTGAAGCAAAAAGTATTACTGAAGGGATTTCTTCTTATTATATATATTTAATGATATTATTATTATTATTTATAAAGCGCCAACAAATTCCATAGTGCTGTACAATGGGTGGACTAACAGACATGTATTTGTAACCAGACAAGTTCGACGCACAGCAACAGAGGGATTAAGGGCCCTGCTCAATCAGCTTACATGCTAGAGTGAGTGAGGTATTATGACACAAAAGGTAAGGGTAGGGTAGAAAAGTAGGTTTCTAGGATAGTATGCATTGAGGGCTTAGTGTTTTGTTTTGATGAAGGTAGCAGGAGAGGAATCTGGGTGTGGGGAGGGAAGGCTGTTCACAGTTTAATTGATATGCTTTTGTAAAGAAGTACGTTTTCAAAATATTTTTTGAAGGAGTGGAGATTGGGTGAAAGTCGAACAGAGAGGGTAAGGGCATTCCTATGGAATGGTGCAGCCCTAGAGAAGTCTTTAAGGTGAGCATCAGAAGTAGGAGTATGAACAGAGGTTAGATACAGGTCCCTGGCAGAGTGTAGGGGCCTAGACGGGACATATTTGTGTATTAGTGAGGATAAGTAGGTTGGAGCAGCATTGTGTAGAGATTTGTAAGCAAGTATCAGGATCTTAAATTGAGTCCTATAGCTTACGGGCAGCCAATGTAGGGATAGGCAAAAGGAGGAGGCATGAGAGGTGCAAGCAGAAAGGAACATGAGCCTTGCAGCTGCATTCATAACAGACTGTAATGGGGCAAGTTGGGAACACATAAGACCACTGAGACATGGATTACCGAAGTCAAGGTGAGAGAAGATAGCGGCATGGACAAGCACATTTGGCGTCATTGGGCGTTAAATAGGGTTTGAAGTGCGCAATGTATTTAAAGATGGAAGCGGCAAGATTTGGTGATTGATTGGATATGAGGGGTGAAGGAGAGGTCTGAGTCAAAGAGAACACCTAGGCAGCGAGTCCGCGAAGTGGAGCGGATAGTAGTGCCATTAACTTGGAGGGAAACAGACAAGGGAGTAGCAACACTTGAGGGAGGGAAGACTAGAAGTTCTGTTTTAGACAGGTTCAGTTTAAGGAAATTAGCAGTCATCAAGTTGGAAATAGCAGAGACAGTCAGAGACACAAGTTTAATAGGGGTGGTGAGAAATCAGGGGAGCACACATAAATTTGTATGTCATCCACATAGAAATGATACTGGAAGCCAAAGGAGCTGCTGAGTTTACCAAGGGAGGCAGTGACATCACACCCTGTTCAACATCATAGACTTACAGAAAAGAAAAATCATAACATGTTCCATACAATAACATAATGTGTCTATACCCCTTCACTATTCAGACGTGCAAAAGGAATTCCAGTCATCATGCAAGAATACATTTGAAAACAAATTATTTCATGCCTGTTGATGTTCATTAAGGACATTAGCTATCTGAACTAGAAAAGCTACAATTTCTGGGGAAATTGTGTGAAGTGTTCTTGCCTCCACCAGTAGTCTACAACTGGAGTGGGCGGAGTAACTGTTATTATTTATTTATATAGCACATTTAATTGCAACGTTGTTGCCCAAAGTGCTTCACAGTTACATTAAAACATACATTTATAAAAACATTAGCAGGTGTACAAAATGCCCTGTCTATGATATCACTTGCTGCTTCAGCCTGGTACAGGTCAGAGTATTTTGGCGTTTGCCATCTTCAAATGGTCATATTTTAAAAACTATAACTCCTACTCCTACATATTGTGAGAATTACAAGACTCAGACCTACATTTTGACGCATAGCATGTCTCTAAAATATTATAAATCAAGGCACAGTCGCAGTTTAGAAATTGCCCTTCAAATTTGGCTAGAGTGGAGTTTCAATGAATGTCAACAGACGGTGTGAGTTGCAAACAAATGGTCATATTGTGAAAACTATCAGGACTATGGCTTAGCCGTTGACATGTTTAGTGGCAGCAGGATAGCTGAACGTTTTGATATAAGATTTGTGTAGGTGGGCTTGAAACTGAGGGAGTGGTGGCAGTTTAGAAATCATGTCCTGATTTTTCAGCTTTTGCCATCTCCCACTCTAGTTTTGAACATTTTGCCATTCATTCCTATGGGACCAATTTCGCCACAAGAACAATGATATTCAGTAAACTATTCGGCGAAACGTTCCACAAAGTGATAGCAATCCAATCGGGAACAATCCGCACGTTTCGGTATATTACTGTCTATATAGTGTAAAAACTGTGGCTATAATAAGAATAATAATAATAATATATATATGAGATAACATTAAGTGGTCTTGCTATGCAAGAACACTTAATTATGGAGCAAATTACATTTCTATTTTTAGCACTCCAACAGTATTGTTTGTTGTGTGTGATGTGACAAGGCTATATCCCTTCGTTACCCTGAAGAGGAGAGGTTGACAGAAAGATGGAAACATCAAAGGTAAATTATACAAAATGATACCAGAACTCTGTTTAATAGGACAGTGTCTAAGCTGAATGCAAGGTCCTTGTAATACAACATTTAGTGGGTAAACATTAGTATTAAAATACATTTACTGCTTCAAAAATGCAAAAAAAAAAAAAAAAAACATAAAATGAACTACCAATGTTCATTTATATAGATTTTTTTTTAGCACAAGTCACAAATCCTAAAACTTAGATCAAACATAAAAAATAATATATTATTGTACACCCTGGCTAATATTCACAACTTTAATGTTCCATTGCATGCTTTATTAAAAGTGTACAGTCAGCTATAGCAAATTATACAGCAATGATAATAACTACACATCATCAGTTTTGCATTCTTTTATTCAAATGTTGACACCAAATTTGCTAATTGCTATGCTAATCTGCATTTGCATGTTTATAGTCATTGCAATTGCATGCTATTGGAATTATTAATAATAATACATGTGTTTATAATGTCTTTTTACATTTTTCAAATATAATAATGTATTAATTTATTAATTATAATATGTTTACTATACACACAAAAATATCTATATTACTATGTCAGATATGTGTTAGAAGAATATATGTGAATTACTTTCACCCTGATTGTAATAATCCAAATGTATTTCCATGGAACACACACAATTTCAATAAAATAGAAAGATTATTGTGTTTTTGCAATATTTTTATATTGGCTTGCAGTCATGTAAAACCTCATAACAGAAATACATCTCAACTGACTGATAACTATAAAGGGAACATAACAATAATAAGAGGAAAAGAAAAACAGAAATATCAAATTAATATATGGATATATACCAAATAGAACCAAAAGTAGAATTTTAGTCTTTTTTATATAGTCTCCTCTTATTTAAAAAGATATTGGCACATGTAAGGATTCATGAATTAGTGAACACATTCATTTCTTAATTAAAGAAATATCAAGGAGGAATAAACACCAGTCTATGTCAGCAGACTCACAAGGCACAGCCTCTATCAGAAATGCCAGACAGCTGCAGATGACACAGACACATTATGAGTCATCTTGGTTTTTAAAATGTCTCCAAATGCCATTAGGTTACAAACAAGTATCCTCTGCATTTTGTCAGGTTTTTGAGTGGGTTCAACATTGCAGTATTTATTTTAATTAATATATTTACATTATTACAGCTATTTATATTATTTCAGATATCATTCTATGCAAAAACATATGTGAGGAAGGCTGAACTTGATGGACGCAAGTCTCTTTTCAGCTATGTAACTATGTAACAATAAAACCATTTATATATTTTTTTTCTTTTGTGTTGTATTTTTCTTTTTGGTGGGAAGCAGAACTTAGTGTAGGTGAGGTAGATTTAGCAGATTTTCCCTTGGTAAGGAGGATGCCCATTCATGTTATAGTGAAGGAAGTTAAGCCTCAAGGATGAGCTGACCAATGCAATAGAAAACCCAACAATTGAAGTGTGGAGTGTGGGGACTCTATGTAGGCAATACGTGCTGCTTTGCAAATGCCAAGGTCTGTAAGCAAAAATTAGGCCATATGTGATCAGGAAGTAAGAAAAAGTAAAACAAAATAAGTCTTAATTTCAATTATTTTTTTTTTTTTATATAGGAGAGCCAAGAAGGACAGTGTTTTCACAGAGATGTAAACTAGAGTTTATGCAGGAGGTGAGGTATGTATAATATTTGGGCCTAGTGGCCCAATATGATTTATTATGGAGCACAAATAGTTTAGATAGGGCTAGTGTCACCCATCTATACAAGAGGTGTGTCTCTGGGGCTTTTACTTTCGGTTGTAGCCAGTCCTGACCCTCCACAGCAGTCTTGACCAGTAGATTTGCTGGCCAGAGCCACAAGGGTGATAATGCCAAAATTAAGTGGGCTGTCTGTGCACAGGCCTGAGAAGCCAAGGTTGCAGTAGTAGATCAGTCCATATATTTGTAAAGATATATTGGTCCCTTATCAGGACAGGGGAGAGACAGTGTGACGGTTCATTCTTGCCATGACTGCTATTGGAGCCTGCACCAGGCAAGAAAATAAGCCCAAGGTTTGCAGTTGGCCACAGTGGGAAAAGTAAGTGTCCAGACGGGACAATTCTGGAGTTGCTGTTCTTTGTTTGAATCCAGAATTTCAGATTTGTTTGTTTCAGATCTGTTCCCGAGCAGTTTTGTGGACACCTTTCCATATAATTTATTTTGCAATACACGATTGAATGCAATGCTGAGTAGTTTTGTTTGGAAAGTTTGGAATGCTTCTGATATAGTCAATATGTATAAATATATTGTTTGTCAATCTGTATTTTATTGAGGTTAAATTTGTCACCAAGTACATAAACAATTGAGCAATGCAAGCTGAGGCATGACAGAGCAACATTTTAATAAAGAATTACAAGCTCTTTTTTGTGATAATAGTTGCACGATCATAATGCTGCTGCAAAAGCACAAAACACTGTCAGCCAGTTCATATACTAATAATATATCAGTGCTAAAACAAATTTTGTAATTTGCCTATCTGAACAGAAGAGCAGTCACAGTCAAGTAGCAAATACAAGACACAGAGAACTACAAGACTCAAGCTGGAGTATCAGAAGAGCATTTAGAGAGATATTGACCCACATAAAAAAGAGAACAGGAGAGCAGCATTGCTAAGTCTAAAGGCAGATACCCACCAAATAAAGGACAATAAACTGGACTAGCATAATAAAGTCAAAGGGTGAACTGCACAGTGTGATCAAAACTTTAGTTGACTGAGAATATTGTTTGTCGATTGTCATTGTAAAATAAATAAAAAATAATAGATACATGCATTAAGAACCAAGCTGGTATGTGGGCCACCTCTTCTAAACAAAAACATTAATCAGTAAAACATTAATTGATAAATAGACTGCAAAAGTTACACAAGATAGTAACCCCTGGATTGTAACCCCCACATCTCAGTATGTAAAATGAAGAAAAATTAATAAGAATGAGCTCCAGCCCAGTAAAATTATAGCCTATCACAGAACATTAATACAAGCATACTAAACGAGTAAAATAACTTTTCTTCAGAGGATCTGTGGCCTGTTTATGGGACTGCTTAGTCTATGCCCATGAATGAGAGACTGCTGACACAAAAAAGGGGGACCCCACCAGACCCAAGCGCCAATGCGTTCCTGTGCTGGGTTTGCAGGAATCCGAACAAGTCCAGCACCCAGATCAGGGCTTTTTGGTCTTCTCCATGCACGCAGATGGCTTTATTGAGTGGGAACCTTCCAACAGCATGGATTGCACATGTAGATGCTGACTTCTCTAGAGTGCTGCGCTGGGAAGCAGCGGTGTGTTGGAAATGTAGATATTCAGAGATGTTGTGCCCCGTGCTGGTCTCTCCACCATCTGCCATCTATACTGTGCATGGAGTACGCTATAAGAACTTTACTGGGTACCTTCTTCCAAGAGACTCTGCCTTTCATGTCCTGGCTCACAAGTATTGTAATCACTCCTTTGATATAGTGATCTAGGCCCAGAATCGGGAACACAAATGATCGAACGCCTGTATGAACAGATCCACATTGACAGGTTTCTTCCAATCTGCCAATGACTATAAAAGTCTATGAGAGTAAGTCAGGGGGCTCACATTTGCAACTGGTATAACCCCCACCAGTCCACTGCCGACCAACGGCTGCCTCCTCCACCTTATATTTTTACTTTGGTCTCAAAGTAATCCAGTGAGGTCTGAACCCACCAGAACCAGCAAGGCACAGGCCAAGCACTCAACACAGTGCTCCTCACGAAGTGTAATCATTTTTAGGTGAAAATAAGATTTTTTGAAGATTAATAAACAAAATTACTGGCTCATTCTGATCTCCAGTCATATACAACTGACTTTGTTAACTGTCAGGGCCTGACCCGTCACTAAATAATTTTGTCTTTACACAGCCAAATATAAGAGTGTGAATGAATGTATAGAAAAATAAAGGAAATGTGATGGTAAATGTAATGTATCAAAAGAGTATAAAGAGCAGCCCCATGCTTGTTTTATCATCAACTGCTGCAAATTAACCTACTATCGATCAGTGCACATGTTCTTAGAATAGAACGTTCTTCCAAAATTGGGAGGTAAGAGACCATGCCAGTGACTCAATTTTGTGTCACTGTTGTTGCATGTTACCAAAAAATTGATGAGTACTATCTTGCCAGTACTTTCCATGTGTGGAACTCTGCTGAAGTGTTCATAAATTTACTGCCATACATGCTTTTAATAACACAAACTCTGTATGTTCTTTACAGAGTCATTTCTCCTGGGTGCCTTGTCTAGAATTAAAAAAGTTAAGAGGCATGAACCTATTATTTTTGTGTTCCCACTAACTCTAACCATCCCTTATTACTAACTAATGCCTCTTAACACTAAGTCCCAATAAACCATCAGCATGGGTACACAATTGTACCAAGAATCATTAAAGCAATGGGTACAGCAGAGTTTACAACACTGCAATGTTGTTAAACATTATAAACAGTGCAATTTTTTTTTACTTTACTACATTTTTTGAACAGGGTGTCATTACTTTATTATGTTTATGACATTTTTAACTCAACTTTGTAATAATTATTTATTCATTACATTAAAAAAATTAAGAAGTAGAAATTGCACCGAATATGAAAAATATTTTATTGTGTTGGTGTAAGTAAAAGTAAAAGTAAAACATTTGTTTTTATTTTTAATAAGAAATAAAAACAGGTAAAAGCAAATTTATTTTTACATTTAGAAAACATTGGCATTGGTTATCAGAGAACTTTTTTGTACGCTTCCAAGAACGTGTGTTCAATAATCAAAATATTTTAAGTAATCAAAAACAAAATAAATGAGCTTTTTGCTTAACTAGAATTTCCAGTGAATTACTTAATAATAAAATTCATTTTAATCTTTCACAAAAGAACACCCTAATGCTAAACATGAAGTGGAATAATTGAACCGAATAATACTGAAGTAATGTATTAAGAATATATTTCATTTGTTTCAAATTGCAATTTTCTCTCATAAATGATTTAATCATTATTTAAGCAGTGTCTGGTACAGCTAAAGCATTTGAAGTAGTATCTAAATACTACCGCTTATTAATCTGAATTGTTCAGTTAGAAGAGGAAGATTGCTTATCGTCTTATTTATATTACTGAAAAGGCAATTGCTATTCTAACTATTTATGTTATCTGGGTAGGAACCTTTAATGGGATGGTGAAAGAAATTGTATAGCAAGTTCTTTCTAATGTCAACTTCTCTTTTTCAACATAAAACAATTCTTAACGAATTAGCTTGAAGAAATAGTTTTTCAAAATGTAAAACATACGTGGTTAAAATTGTTACTTGCCCAAAGTGTATATGCACATATTAGCGATACTGGTTATTATACAGTAAGTATAATTATGTATTATTATTTATATAGCACCAACAAATGCCACAGTGCTGCACAATGGGTAGCCTAACAAACATGTAATTGTAACGGGAGGGACAACCTCATTACCACGGGGGCAGGGACACTATAGTGTTAGGAATACAAGCTTGTATTCTTAACCTCCTAGGGTTTCTTTAAGGGACATTCACTAAACATCTATTGCCTTTACTCGCTTTGGGTGTTAAGTTTGTGTTTTGGTAGATAAAGCGCATCATAACTCTCAAGTTTCCTAGACTGTTTAGGGAATACCATGAAATCAGTAGAAACTCCTTGTATGGCCCATAGTTTATTCATAAAGCTGGCACTAGAATGGAGAAATAAGTACTGAGTTTGCGTTACTGAGTTAAGATGGTAACTCAATAATTTATGGCTTTTTTTTATTATCTTAAGAAAGTGTGAAAAAATTTCAATATATATCAATATAAATATCAATAAAAAGTTATTTTAAAGTATGATTAAATATACTGAAGGTGTAAAAATGTCAGATAACATTTCTTTGGTTAAACAACTTAACTTGATTTCCATGATAATTATTGTACAAAAACATATATTCAGCAACCCTGTCATGTGATATTGTATCATAATATGTGCACTTTCTGCACGGCGGAAATTGCTTTCTAGCTCAGTCAATGGAGCATTCTAACATCTGACACAAGCACAGAATTTCTACGTGTCATGCAAGTATTTACCATTGATGTCCTTTGGGTCTGCTGAAGATGCATATTTAGCATGACTTCAAGAGAAGGCTGTGGCAGTCAGCTGAATTGTGGTATAGCAATTCTGGCTCCTGAGATATTTTACTGTGACATTTTCTTACATGATTTGTAGTCCTGGAGAAAGATTATGGCCACTGGGACCTGCCTTATTCTTGTGGGCAATATAAAGTTTTGATATTATTGTGAGATGATATTGCATCTTGCAATTAGATGAACCTGTAACCATTTTTGTTTTCCTGCAGCAAAAGTGAAAGATTACATAAAACTACAGTGGGGATCCCAAGAGCTTTAACTGATACACTTCATTGGTTTACCTTTAGATGATTGCCTGGTCCATGTAGTGTACAAAAAGGAAAAGAGAAAAGAAAAATGTGCGTATTTTTGCACAAGTATAAAACTGGCTTTTTAGCTTCAACCCTTTCTCTATCTGCG